CCAGCAGATGTTACACTGTAATTTGATAGAAGACATTATATCAAACAAATTTTTAATACCTTTGAAATTATATTTATCTCATAGGTTCTGCACCTGACAATTTATTTTACACATTATTTAACATAATGCTGATAGCAAAGATTACAAGCACTTACCGTTGTATCTGCATCAGTAGATGTCACTTGTAGTATGCTAGCCCCCAAAGTCTGGGTTTCAAGAATGGTTTGTTGATATTGAGTGGGAATGAAACTTGGATTAAACAGGTTTCTGGTAACATTGACCAGGAGTACACCCGTGGATGATCGTCGCGGTGTTCCAAAGTCCCTTACACGCAAGCGAACCTATAAACATTTTCAGAAGAAAAACTGATTAAACTTCAGAAATATCATTCAAAAGAGATCACGAATGATAAAGTCATTCTGTATGTCATCTTCAGCTGTCACTTTTTGAAATTGCTTACATATACTAAACTTTAAATTTCTCTTAATTTTTTTTTTTAATATATTTTGAAAGTAATTTTTTTTGATAAATTTACATCTTAATGCAATAAATGCATCATTCAGCATCTCAGTGGAGAAAACCTTATTGCTTTAAATAGTTTTTAATTTATTTACCCTATACTGCTCTGAAGGATCATTGGTCAGTCCTGTGGTGGTAAAAATTCTTCCTGTCTGATCAACAGTAAACAATCCAGTGGCTGCATCATCTCCAACAATATCATACTCCCGACGCTGGAAATCATTCTAGAAAGAAAAACAGAAAAAAATTTGGAAAAATTGGTATAACTTCTACACGTTTTACAAAGAAGAAATTGTAAAACAAAAATTTGTTAAACACCCACTCCTCCCAATTCTTTGTATATGAACTTACAACAGTGTCAGCATCAGTTGAATTAATGGTGTAAACAGTGGAACCCTGTGCAATGTCTGCTCGGATTGTTACGCTGCCTGGCAGGTTGCCAAATAAGGGGTCAAAGTCATTCCTTTGGACCGTGATGGTAAGTGGAATTTCTGGACTAGTTCTCTGAGGAGAGCCAGAGTCTGCAGCTTGGACTCTGAACTATAAATAGAAAATAGAGATTCTGTAGCTGCACACATGGTATAGGGTTATATCCAAAACAATGAAGAATGAAGAAATTCTCATTCCAGTATTTTTACATAATTCATGAACACCAAATAATTAGAAGCAGCAAAGAACAAATAAGAACTGTTTTTTGTTTCTAGAAAAATTATCAAATGAAAGTAGAAAGCAAAGAAAATATTGTAAAACTGAACTATTACGTTGTAAGTCTTTGTTTCTTCTGTGGTCAGATCCTTTCTAATGCTAACGTCTCCTGTGGTAGGATTGATTAAAAATCTCTCCGAAGGTGTAGACGCAGCGAAGTAGTACTGAACTACATTGTTTGGACTCTGAAAACATATTATAAAACAAATTTGATTGAAATAAATAATTTTTGTTTTCTGGGAACAAAAATCTATAATAAAAATTCAAATAATGGAAAATAAAACAAATTATGGCAATAATTGGATAATTCATTTGTTCTGAGAATGACTACAAACAAGAATTAAACTGTACAAATATTTTGAATGTTATATACAGGAAAAGTATTTTAAGATGTCATACTTACTGCAAAATCAGAATCTGTAGCAGAAAGTCTACCGAAAGAAAATCCAATAGCTCTGTCTTCCCTGACGGTCATGGCGTAGCTATTTTGTACAAAACTTGGAGCCTCAAAGTTTCTTTGCACAGTAAGAGTCAAAGTACTGACAGCTTCTTTCCTTGGGCTGCCACCATCCTGAACTCGCACCCTCAACTGTAAAAAAAAAACATAGGATTAAATTATGCTACACTTCTAGTTAGATTGGTGCTTGTAAGAGTTGAAGAAAATAAGAAACAAGAAATCTGTGAGCCAGTGCTCACTAGTAATACCCCCGCTCTGATGTAAATAAGCACTCTCATGTTAATATATAAACACAAGTTCAATTACAGGCAGATGCACAGAAAAATATGAAGTTGAAATCAGATTCATATCAAAATTAATCCCACCATATGGCATGCCTCAACAAAGGGTGTAATAAAATTTCAAGCATCCGCTATGAATAGCTAATGAGAAAACTGCGACGAAAATTTGTTATGTGTTAAACAGACTGATGCACAGACAAACAGGAAGTTGACATCGGATTTGAGCGAAAATGTATCCCACCATATGGCATGCCTCAGAGAAGATTGTGTTAAAATTTCAAGCATCTACCATGAGTAGTTGCTGAGTAAACTGCGACGAAAATTTGTTACGTATGAAACGGACAAACGCAGAGACAAACAGGAAGTTGACAACAGATTTGAGCGAAAATGTATCCCACCATATGGCATGCCTCAGAGAAGATTGTGTTAAAATTTCAAGCATCTACGATGAGTAGTTGCTGAGAAAACTGTGACGAAAATTTGTTTCGGACAGACACACAGGAAGTTGACAACAGATTTGAGCGAAAATGTATCCCACTATATGGCATGCCTCAGAGAAGATTGTGTTAAAATTTCAAGCATCTACGATGAGTAATTGCTGAGAAAACTGTGACGAAAATTTGTTTCGGACGAACGCACAGACACACGGACACACACACAAGGGTAAAACAGTATACCCCCCTCTCCTTCAGAGCGGGGGTATAATAACCTGGGGAATAAAGTATTACCATGTACAGAGTTGTGGTTCCTTGGAAAACTGACTGCTGCAGAGTGATTGCCCCTGTAGTAGGATTTATGGCAAACACACTAAGAGAATCTCCGTCCCCGGTTAGAGAGTATGTGAGCTGTCCAAACACACCCTAGAATTAAACAAGAGATGAAGTCACATTTTATGCATCCAAATACAGAAGAGAAAAAAAATGAATTGCTAAGATCAAGGTCCATTGATACTCTAAGAGACATAAGCTCTATTTAAATCCTCTGCATTTTACTTATTTTGGAAAGTTACAAGATTTAAAGCAACATTTCATTATAGGATTAAACGTTCTTTTTGAAAAATTTATCGATGTGTAAACTCTTGACATTTTACTCACAAACTAAATAAAAGTGCGAAGCACTTTTATGTTAAGTTTGTGAGTAAAATGTCAAGAGTTTACACATCGATAAATTTTTCAAAAAGAAATGTTTAATTCTTATAATTCCAATATCGAATTTTTAAAAAATATTTAAATTATTTCTCTTTGAGGCCTCCATACAATCCGTTATTTCTGGACGGCGGAGGAATACATTTTACCGTAAAGGAACGTAATCGAGATGAATTTCGATAGAGTTCAACTTAAATTGTCAAAACAATCGATAAATAAACTTATAACAACTAATGAAATGTTGTTTAAGTCAACAAATATCGTAATTACGAGTTTACTTCAGAATAGTTCGTCTTTGACCATGGCCATGTTGACATAAACAACAACTCTCATAGCGAAACTTGCAGACCGACGACGCCTTCAATTTGCACTTGTTTATTCAAATATTGAGGAACAATATAGAAAGTTAATATGAATTTGATGCTTATAGGGCAAGAGTTTGAGGTACGTTTCTTTTCCCTGTCAAAACGATACAGACTGAGCTTATTTTCTACGTATGAACGTTGAGACAGCGATTTTTAAAATTCACACTCGTGATCGGACAGTGACATAAACATTTTCACGGCGTCCATCAGTTAGGCAGTCTAGTATGTTGCCAGTTTTGTTTAAGCCCTAATTAAATTTAAAGTTTCTTGTATTCATTATTTAGCCAGAACAGACCCAGAAATAACTGCTTTCATTGTTTATACGATAACCTAGTAGTGTCATCAAGAAAGTAGTTCTGATTGAAAGAATTTATCGATGTGTAAAAATTTTCTGGAACGTGTTCTCGTCCAATCAAAACACAGGAAATCAATAGATAAAATGAAGATTGGAATTATTTCTAAGTGAACATAGGGTTTATAAAAGTTAGACCGAGTTGAAAGACCAGTTCATATTTCAGAGTGTATGTGGTCCCTTACCGGGTCCGGGTCTGTTGCTGAGGCTGTGTAGACTGCCACTCCTAGTGAGGTGTTGTGATTGATCAGGCTGTCTCTGGGTAGATTAGTGAACACTGGAGCATTGGTGTTTCTAATCACTGTCACTCTTACGCTGGCTGGGGCTGTAGCCTGAAGACCGCCTCCGTCCACGGCATTGACATTGAACTACAAAACAGAACAATTAAACTATGAAATAATATCTCTGGGAATAATTTATAGGAGGTATAACCTCAACTATAATCACTGATTAAAAAAAAATATCTAGATCTTTAAGGCACTGCGACATTGACACTATTATTCCTTGCTGGTGTCTTTCATTTTTTCCCACAAAGTAAATAAAACAAATTCAAGATGTCTAACTGTGAACATGGCAAAACAATTACTGTATAATCCACGGTTCTTGCATTATCCAGCATGGGTGACTGGCGAAGACTGATGTTTCCATTGACTTCATCAATCATAAAATACTGAGCACCAAGAGCACTTCCAGCATCAGAGCTGATGGAGTATCGTACTGTATTGTATGGTGCCTGAAAATGGGAGAAAATCAAAGTTAACATCTGAAAAAATATATCCTCCTGAAGGACTATTGTTCTTTTTTATTAATCCAACACGATCTTTTTAAACTATCACTACAAGTTGATTAAGACTAAGGATCCATAGGTGTCAAGGGTACAATAAATAAAGCTGATCACTAAAATTTTCTTGGACTTTAAATGTCGAAACTATAACTTTACCCTTCGATCATTATCTGTAGCTTTCACTTGCAAAAATGAAAGTCCAAGCTGCCTGGTCTCCAGAATGGTTTCATTATAAGACTGTCGTTCAAAGGCTGGATTATTGATGTTGCGCTGAACTGTTATAGTAGCTACAGTTGTTGCTGTTTTAGAGGGAGAGCCACCATCTCTGGCCAAAATTCTCATCTGCAATAAATCACCACAGAAAAATGTAACTTTTTTGTTGTCAAATTGAAGCGCTTAAGGTTTTAGATTATTTTTATCATAATAAATTTCATACATAATATCTAGATTTAATTTTTATGTAAGTTTAAAGCTACTAGTTGAATGGGTAAATGACAAATATTTCTAGGACATCAAGTATGCTGAATATTGCTTTCTCTGAAAACAACATTTACTCCAAACCATAGAACACCCTTTGACATTAATGCCTGGTAATTTCTTGACAAGGATAGGGGTATTTTCTAAAAGTAAAATTACATATGAATGTGCAACTCACCAAATATTGAGTGTCTGTGTCAGCAGTTAAATCACTGTTTACAAACAAACGTCCAGTATTTTCTAGACGGAAGTAAGTCAGTGCTTTGTCGTCTCCAATGGCCGACACAGTCACGGTGTTAAATGGAGCCTGCAAGAAAGTACTAAATCAATTATTACAAAAAATTTTCTTTAGGTCAGCATTAATTATCTGAACATCTTTGCAATAATTATGATACAATACAATATTACATGCACATTGCAAAGTACTTAATTCATTTAAAAAAATAATAAAATACACACTCTTTCCCTCAAATAAAAGAAGCATTAAAAAGAAGACTGATTTTGTAAAAGGATTACCAAATTGACCACTTTAGATCACAAAGTCTTACATCAGTATCAGAATCTCCAAAGTTGACTTGAAGTACTGATGTTCCAACAACAGAAGTCTCAGGAATGATGGCATTGAATGGTCCACCAGTAAAGAATGGGGTCTGTAAATTCCTGTACACGTCTATCGTCACTGTGGCATTTGTAGACGAAGTTTTGGAGGGACTCCCCATATCATAAGCTTGTACGCTCATCTGAAAAATATCACACAGAATTTTAAACTCAACATAAACAAGTCTAACAAACTATTAACACCAAGGAGGAAAAATGAAAAGAAATTAACCAACTTTAAGGCTATTTTTAATTCAATATCTTTTTGATCTGATAAATGGATAAATGAGTGTCATTTTCTCAGATGATAAAAAAGTTCTACCTGATATCTAGTGGCTGTATCTAATGTAAGTTCCCTTTTCACATAAATGTTTCCAGTTAAAATGTCCAGGTCGAAATAATCAGAAGCTGGTTGTGTAGCAAACAATCTGAATCTGATCTGGTTGTGTGGAGCCTGGGTGTCCCTATCTTGAGCCCTCACTGTAGCAACAGTAACTCCCAGATCTTGTGTCTCAGGGATTCTTTCAGCAACATTAGCGGTAGTGATCTCTGGGGCAAAGTTGTTCCTTTCCACTGTCACAGTCACAACAGTGACATTGTCTTTTGCTGGAACTCCATTGTCATAGGCTCGCACTCGGATCTGAAGTCGCACAGAACAGAAAGTAAATTGTACAATTAAAACTCATACAAGTGTCTCAGCTCTTGCAATATTTCATCTCCAATGTCAAAAAATCTTTGCCTATCAACTATTTGGGTTAAGAAGTTTGATTTTATGATTTTGTAATTAATCTTACATAGTATATCAGGTCTGATGATGAGGCCAACGAATTTGCTACTGTGATTTGCCCAACGCTTGGATTAGGAATGGTGAAGAAAGCGGCAGCATTACCATCTCCAATGATCTCGTATCTTACAACATTGAAGGTGACGTCAGAATCTGTTGCCAGCATAGAGGTCCCAACAGCCTGTCCTACAGCGGCTTGCTGGGAGATCGGAGCTGACGTCATAGGGTTTTGCCACTGTGGAGCGTTGTTGTTCCTTATAATATTGATGGTCAGTCTGACTTTGTTGTCTGCTTGCCGTGGTGGATTTCCACCATCTTCTGCTCTTACCAACAGCTGTCAAAGCAAAATGATTGTAAAACTTGTACCAATATATTTAAATCAATTTTTTTTTCACTTTGATAAATCCATCTGACTTATAAGCTGAAAAGTTTTACAAAAATTAACTTAACATCAAATTCATATGCTAAATTCTAGAAAAGAAATCTGCTTGGAAATTTATCACAGAGGAAGAGTGATCCACATAATGTAAATTACAAGTACTTGCAAATACTTCACTAAAGTATTGAATTCTTTTGAAATGTGGATCATTTGCTATTCTCAAGACAAACAAAACTTACCACAAACTGTGTCTCAGTTCTTTGCAGTAAAGACGTTTTCAGGAAAGTTTGTCCATTATCAGCCACAGTGAAGAAGCTTGGAGCATTTCCTTCACCTTCCACCACATATCTTACAGTATTGTAAGGGCTCTGTCAAACAATAAATCGGAAGATCATTTTATAAAGTGTCAAAAGAATAAACATATCATTTTGTTCTCATCAAGACTTCGAACCAAAGTTTTTACAAACTGATAGAATTATTTACAAATTAATGATGCAGCAAAGTTCATTTATATTGATACAATTGAAGCTACATCAAAAGTTGGTTTGTTTACTAATAATTTTTCACAATATCCAGTAGTTTATAAGTCAACTTTTCTCTATACCTGCCAATTTAACTAATGAATATAAAACGTCAATATGACCAGATAATGATTCTTTTCCTTAGGTTTGACGTACTACAGTTTATGCTTTGTGTCATGTCCATCAATAATCTAAACAGATGAGAGAGAGAAAACTTACCACATTGTCTGCATCGTTGGCTTGGAAGTCATACACTGATGTGACATAGTCCTGGGTCTCCGGAATCGTCACCTGAGCTGCATATGAATCACCGGCACCAGGTCTCACCCAGACTGGTTTGGCCAAGTTACTGTCCACTTTCAGGGTCAGTAAGGAGTAGGTCCTCCTGGGAATATTTGCTCCATCTCTGGCCTCAACTGTCAACTACAAATGAAAAAAATATTTTTCCATATATGTATTTAATTAGGATAGTTAAAAGACAACTGATTCTGCATACAAATTTAATTAATAAATATTTGAAATTTATTGTGTTAATTAATAATATTTTTGAATATGAATCTTATTGAAATTTTATACCAATATACAATCCAGAACCTGCAAAAAGTTTACAAACACTATATTTTTGTGTTTTACCATTTAAAATAAGTACCTCTTTCATACATGTATTTGCAAAGCAGTTCTTGCAGTGAGCAAACCTTATTGTTAAGGTTTGAAAAGATCCTTCAAATGCAAAAGATGACTTACCACATACTCAGCCTGAGAGAGTGAATTTGTCTGCAGGGTTACAACACCAGTTGTGGGGTTGATGGAAAATTCATTGGTTCCAGACACCAAATAGTATGAGACAACATTAAATGGAGACTGAAAAAGAGTGAATAATTTTGCGAAAGTCATCAACTGATTTTTTCCAACTGAAATTTCAAATCACGAAGAACTCACAATAATATTTTGCAAAACTCACGAACTGAATTTTTCAGATGGAAATTCAAAATTATGAAAAACTCCCAATGTCTCTTGAACAATCCATAAACTTACCCTTGTATCACTGTCATTGGCAAAAGCAGTGTAAACATTAAACCCTGCTCCTGAGGTCCGTGGAAGAGACTGGGTACTGGGCAGATTCTGGAAGACTGGTGCGAAACGGTTTCGTTCTACAGTGATAGTTACTGTGGCAGTTTGTTGGGAAATCAGTGGATTTTCTGCCTTATCTGAAACCCTGACATTCAGCTGCAAGGTGAAAAAAATGATAAAAATTGGATCAATACAAAGTACAAATATTGAAGAATTAGAACAAAACTAATAAAATTTTAAAGTCATTTCACTGCATAATTATTCATAATAATGGGTCATTATTCAAATAAATACACAAATACAAATTAATAAACTGATTTTATTTTTCATCTGGACAGTGGTACCTAGAATTTTTTTTACCTGGTATTGAGTGGCTGTTGCAGTGTATAATGGCTGTTTCACCAGAACTTTCCCTGAGGTTGCTTCAACATCAAAGTACTGCACAGCAGTCTGGTCCCCAATGGCAGAAAACTCAATTTGATTGTTTGGTGGCTAAAAAAAAAAAATGAAATAAAATAATATTATTTTCATTTTAGTAAATGTATGAACTGAAAACTTTGACCATTTTTCCTACATATTTTTGAACAATTTATTTGAATTACTGTGTTTATTTTAAAGAAGATGGTATTTTTCATTAAAAAGACAGATTTACAAACAGCCTAAAAATATAGACAAAGTGATCCCGCTATATCTGCCATATGTTATACTGAAAATACAAAAACAAATAAATAAATGAAGTGAAAACTTACATTAATATCTTGGTCAGTTGCTGACACTGTGACACCTGTTTCGGCACCAGCTGGCAGATTTTCTTGAATGGTGATGGCATAGTTTAGAGGATTGAAAGCTGGAGCCCACAGATTCCTGTTTATTGTAATGGTGACTACTGCCTCATCAGACAAGGATGGAACTCCATTGTCTGAAACTCGTACCAAAAACTGAAAAGAAAAATGTAAAAATACAGTTAAGCATCAATAACTATCTATCTATCAATAGAAATCACAATATTAAGGCAAAATAAAATCATTCAACATAAAGTATATTTTATTTGGGGAAGAACACATTCTTTTCCAAATTTTACATATAACGAAATGCAAGTGGAAAAAGTCTAAAACAAAATGGTTTAGAAACTTTCCAGTTTCAATATTCCTAGGCTGTCTTTAAAATTAATATTCTTTTCAATTATATTTTTAGACTTACCCTGAATTCTGACTGGGATATTCCTCCTACAAGATTCCGTAATGTGATGCGGCCATTGGAGTCTATGTTGAAATATACAGAGGGTGATCCTACTCCCAAAGATTCTATGACATATGACAGCGTATTGAACTGAGGGATCTGAGTAAATAAAAGCAAAACATAACCTCAACAGTCAACATATCAACATACATTTATGAAGCAATAAATAAATCTGATCCATATTTGATTCATGTAAGCATACAGGGAATGCAACACCGTCAACCATTGATTGCTTGCAGTCATTTCCTTTTAATTGTGACCATCAAATCAGAATAGTCTTGATTTTATGAGCACTATTTCATTAGTCAGTAGCATTAAATTGTGTAATTATATGTGGGTTTCTAACAAGGAAACTCTTCTTTTAAAAAACAACTTACTCCAGTATCTGGATCAGTTGCAGACACCTGTCCAATTGTGGTAGGAGGAGTGACTGTAGCATCCTCCCTCATGGTAAAGGCATAGGATGACGAGGGGAAGGACGGTGCTCTGTTACGCTGTACATTAACAGTGACTGTGGCATTGCTTGAGCTAGTCCTGGATGGATCTCCCAAATCATAGGCTTCTACTAGCAACTGTTATAAAAAAAGAAGTCATTTTGTTGACAAGTGTAGATAATTAATTGCGGTCCCTGTGATTTACAAAAGATCAGTTACACTGTCTAAACTGAAAAGAATACCAATGTGAAATATATAAAATGATAAGAAAAAATGAGACGCACCTGATAAGTTGTAGCAGAAAGTCCATTTAATGGACTTCTGACTGTCACCTGTCCACTGCTACTGACAGCAAAGTTGCCCTGTTCACTTGGATATGTTGTCAACCCTGAGCTGGCAACAACAGCTTTTAAGTGGTAGTTGACCTGGTTATTGGGTGGCTGGGCATCACTGTCTGTGGCAGTAAGGGCACCTGGACTAAGAGTTAAGGGTACATCCACTGCCTGAATTTCCAAGATGGTTGTCTGATAATTCAGTGTATTCCACACCGGAGTGTTGCGGTTTCTGTTGACCTTGATGGTAACCATTGCGTTAGCAGACTGGGAGGGACTACCACCATCTGTAGCAACTGCTACCATCTGTGAAGTGAAGACGATGTCGGTACAGATCAAATTTAACATTTAAATCTTTCTTTTTCATCATGTTTCTCTACTGAAATTAAAATATTTGTTCTACTAACAAATAACAATAAGCCATGCCATACTTACGTTAAAGGTAACAGTTGGGTCTCCAGTCAGTGCACTCTTTACTCTAACGATACCAGTCGCTGGTTCCATAGAAAACAGGTTATTTCCAGCAGTGTTAGCTAGCAGTGTGTAGGTAATTGTTCTGAACTGTAGCTGTAATTAAATTTTCCTAACATTGAATTTCACAAGAACTAAGTAGACTAAGGTTTTTGTGTTACAAAACAAATGCGTTACAAACTTAATGCTCTATCTTTATGTAAAAAAAATTTACAACAGATATTACAAATAATTTGGTCTGTATTTGAATCTTTGATTTTAAAAGGAAAGTGTACAGAAAATAAAGATCTCTCTCTATAATCAATTTGTCAGAAAAAAGTCCAAGTTCTTACTTCAGGATCCTGATCACTGGCCCGTACTTGTAGAATACTGGAGCCTACACTTAAAGTCTCTTCAATTTCTTTATAATATGAAGTGTCAAAGAACACTGGAGGATTAGAGTTTCTGACGATGTTTACGGTCAGAGTGAACTGATTTGCGGCTACTCTATTTCCACCATCTCTTAGCTGGATAGTCAGCTGAAATACCAAAAACATCATGACTTAATTGTATTTTGGGAAGTTTGTTTCATAAAACTTAATTTCATGTACACAAATGCTTTGTTTTAATTCTGATAAGTTCATTTCAAATCTTTAAGGAAGACTAATTAAAACTGAATACTTCTGGATTGTTTAAGGATTTGTGCCAAAGATATAAAATTGAAGTTTTCAATCTTAACTGAGCTTGAGAGCTTTTCATAAATTACATGTACACTTTATATCAGAGGTAAACCTTCTTTTGTAAGTCACAGTTCATCACACTCATAAGAGAATACTATTTTGCATCACAGATTGAATGGATTGACAAGGAAAAACAATGCATACTTACCACATACTGGTTGACAGACCGATCAATGGCCAGAGAACGAATGATCTGGACTTCTCCTTGACTGTTAATTTGGAAATGCTGGGCAGCACTGGCAGTTGACAAAATGCTGTAGACTCTAGTATTACCTGGTGCCTAATATCATAAAGTTTTCATACTTTCAATAAAATTATGAAAAACCTATTTACAATTAGTTCGATTTCACAATACTTCATTTTAGTATTCAATATTACACATCAATTAATAATTGATTTTCTGTACCTGAATATCCTGATCTTGAGCTGTCAGAGTGTAGACCGTTTCTAGGACGGGTCTATTTTCAGTAACACTGATTGAGGCACTGTAGGGGCCACCAAGTGGAAGCCACTGTGGGTCAAAATTATTACGGTTCACATTGACAACAACTGTTCCTGTATCAGATAAACCTCCATTGTCTCTGGCTACAATGATCAGCTGTAAAAAAAAAATTGTCATTCATGATAAATCTTCCAAAATAAGGACTAAAATCCCTTATATTAATCTACTTGATTATTCAAATAAATGTTCACAATATACTTAATGATTACTAAAATATTCTGAATCACACCTGTGATATCTATAATTCATAAATTAGTAAAAAAGGAATTCATTTCTCCAATATTCTAATTTTCAAGGTGTCAATCCTATATCCGATTCATCCATACATATCACCCTGAAACTTTTATGGGAGGGATATAAAAGTCCTAAATCTGTTAACTTACTGAATACTGTGAAGCATCATCCGCTGTAAGGGTGCTAATCAGTGTAATCCGTCCACTGTTAGAGTCCAGTCTGAACAAGGAACCGCTAGTGGCATCTGTTACCATGGAGTATGTCACCTGGTTAAACTGAGGCTGTGCAAAAAAGACAATAAACCATATTAGAACTTAAGCTGGAACTCAGAATCAATCCATTTAGACATTTTATTTTTGATAATTTTCATTAGTTTCTGGAGGACTCTGTTTCTAATGCTGTTGTACCTCATTATCATTGTCTGTGGCTGTGTAGGTGGTGACTTCAGAATTAACCTGATGGCTGTTGAGAATGTTAACTGTCTTCGATTTAGGAGCTGGGAAAAATGGAGCTGTGTTTCTGACCACAGTGATGGTGACTGTGGTAGAAGCAGCCAATGGGGGCACTCCACTGTCTTGTACAGTCACTGCAATCTGTAGATTAAAAAAGTACTGTCTATTACTTAATCCATATACTTGCTTGCTCAGAGCCTTACGCATGCAGATCATTCAAAGAATTTAAATTCGTCTCAGGAAATTTCAGTCAGTGAATACTCTTCCAAAAAATTTGGATGAATACAACCATTTCCTGGACAACAGAGACTGGGGGTATCATTACAAATACTGTATGTACTTACATCATATCTTGTAACACCAGGGTCCTGCTGAAATGATCTTGCCAGTGTGATCTGACCAGTTTGTGGATTGATATAGAACCATTCCAGAATGTTTTGATTTTGTGTTGGACTGGAAGTTGCAGAGGTAATTCTGTATATGAGTCGACTGTTGGCTGTGTTCTGTATTTTCAATAAAAAATGGCTTCAATTAGTATGTGATAAGACTTGTGATTTTTTTTTTTCAAAGTCATTTTACTAAATGATAAAAAAAATAAAAGATATTTATCTACACTATTTATATTCATTACAATATCAATTCTTTGTTAAGAGTAAATAAACAAAATCAAAACTGAATCAATAAGCAAATTTGGCAATGGAGAAATCAGATCTATGTGTTTGTTATGCATGTACATCTCAAAATGCAGTGTTAGAGTTACAAAACATTCAATGAATAAGATGTTAACTGACCGGTGCATCAGCATCTGTTGTTGTAATACTGGAGAGGAGAACGGTCCCCACTGGGACGTTTTCTAAGAACCGAAGATTGGAAGGAACAGCCTGAATGACTGGACGATAATTGTTGATATCCTGTAAAGACAAACGTGTGCATTTTTATTGAAACAGATTGTAGAACTTTATAATGTAAGAAATTGCGTAGGAGCATACTTCTGTGTGTGGGGGTCTTCAAAATTGTTTTAACTGATTATTATGTTTATTGAAGGAAGAAAACACTCAAAAGATTGATGAATACTAAATTTAGCTCCTTATAAATTGATATCAATTTAAAATCAGTATAAAATCCAAATTTCTATGGAGCGTAGTACTCAAATAATTATAACTTATCTACTGCAATATCAATTAACCTCTAGATTTATGGTGACTGTTGCTGTTGCAGACAAAGCATTGGAACCTTCCCCTTCAACTGTGGTCACTTGGAACACATAACTAGTTTTAGTCTCATACTGGAGAAGTTGATTGTTTGTAATCAAGCCACTATTCTGGTTGATACTAAAGGCACTGAATTCTCCTGCACTGAATTTGTAAGTGATCTGATCCACTACATCCTGGTCCAAGGCCTACAAAATCAACAAAGTTAAACATGATAGGATTCAATCCACAGTTCAAATAATGATCCAAGGATGATTTATTAATTACTAACAGGTAATGCATCTTTTCTTAAAGAATGAAGTTGTTCATACCGTTACTTGCACTACAGATGTACCAATTGACTGTCGTTCAGGAATAGAGCGGACAATGTTAGTCTCTGTAAACAAAGGAATGGTGTCTTGTACATCCTGAACGTTGATAGTAACAGTAGCTGTTCCTGTTCTACTACTAGCTCCTCCATCAATGCCCAGAACCAGAATCACATGGGAAGTTCTTGTTTCGTAGTCTAATGGAGTGGTTGTTCTTATCAGCCCAGATGGTAAAATGGTAAATCTGTGTAAAATTATTAGAAATGCAAGTTATTTGCATCTCCGCTTTAATCAGTAATCAAAGAAACCTGGTTCCATTTGTATTCCAAATGTTTCCATCTTTCAAAAAGCAGCAAAAATGATAATGATTATGTACTTACAAACTAGAAGAACCAGTAGATGAAAAAGGTGATATTTGGTAATTAATGTTTGCATTTGCACCTTGGTCTGCATCTGTTGCCTACAAAATCAAAATGTTTGTTTGGGGTCAAGAAAAAATTAAAATTTCATTAGAAACTAGGACATATATGTTTGACTTTCCTTCAAAGGTGTTTATCAAAACATACAATTGATTTAATGTACGTGCTACGACTAAGAGAGCTATGACTTACTGTAACTGTTCCCACATCTTCATTTGCTCTTCCCTCCAGTACAGAGAATGTGTAAGAAGCAGGTGTAAAAAGAGGATTGTTATCATTGACATCTTGGATTATGATTGTCAAGGTTGTCTGTGCTGACTGAAAATCAAATCATAAAAAAAGTTCTCTATATCTTTCTCATGAATATAAATCACAAGGTATTTGATCTTAAGCATTCCATTTTCAGGGGATATCTATTTTATTAGATCCTTAGGAAAATAATCAAATCACAACATTTTACTACTCGTTAATGGAAGTTTGTTTCCCCTAAGGAACATTTTTATTGGCTGTGTTTCACTTACCAGTCCACTCTGATCCTGCACTCTAATATTTAATGTGTACCGAGGGGTGGCTTCTCTGTCCAGTGCTCTTTGTGTTCTAACTTCCCCTCTGAAATAGCATATTCATTTATGAATCAATTCAAATCTGATCATTCCTCTTATTGTTATTATTCAATTTTCTTACATTAAAAAAGGTGGAAACACTCTTACGTTGTTGAATTAATGCCAAAATCATTGTTGACATTTCCTGAGATGATGGAGAAACTCAATGGTAGTCCTTCTGGGTCCCTAGCCTGTAAAACAACATAAATTGATATAAAACATGAAACAAAACTTAGCACTAATGTCTCTAGCCTGAATTATGCTACATCAACTTAACATAAATGACCTTATCATGTAAAACAACATAAAACGACGAAATATAAGATATATATTAAACAACACTGATCTACCGGCAGTTTACCATGGATTCCTTACAAAGTGAATAATGGCAAAGAAATGAGAAAGATAAGAGGTAGATCTATACATAAGTGCTAAGTACCTGGTAAATGAAATTTTTAAGCAAACAGTCAAGCTTAACAATAAAGTGAAGACTACCTGGTAATAGATGATTCTAACTACTAATTACTTTAATTAAGCTTTGGCAGTCTCCCAATTTTGTTCCTCCTTTTCTTACGCAAAGCTAGAGTTTTATATGGAATATTAACCTGAGAGAGTTTCATAATCCTTCAGCGATAAGAGTGTCATACATTAATTTTTGACAGCAGAAATAAAACTATGGTGTAGAATAAGTAAGAGAGACATCAATATATTGGCCCTGTGATAAGTACTGAAAACAAAAGTACTACTTTATGTATATAGTCGCCAGTGCTTTATAAATCAGAAGTTTTCTAAGCGCCCTTCTTACCGTCCATCCTTGCATCTAAAGGGAAAAAGTCATTTTTTGGCTTAGTAATACTTTAAGATTACACTTTATAATCAGTTTCTTATTTCTAATGATGAAAATGTACATTAAATATGATGTCAATTTTCGAAACTTCTTTTTTCTTCAGAGTATTACAGAATGAAGATTTAACAGTACAGGTAATTATTGCTCATCATATTTGTTTAAGTAGGTATGAAAATGGCTTAGTGGAAAATGTAACAAGAAAATCCCCATTACCATAGTAATATCCAGTTCCCAATTAAGATATTAGTAATTTTATTTTATTGTATACAATAGAGTTTTACGTGACCACTCAAAGCATGCACAATTTCCGATTTAAAGGACACCTTCATTCAATGAATAAACGACTCTACCTTTTCTATGAAAAAGTTTAATTAACTTTTTTTTTCCTATAAATATATTTTTATCAAATAAAGTAAAAGCTTGTCTACAGTAGCTCTCTCTAAATCTGCCTCTTATCAAAAACTTAGGAAAAAAAAAAAGGAAAAAAAACACCTCTTGTTCTTTGTGGGGTGGTTTTTTTTAACAAAACATACCGGAACAGTGAAGACGGATGAAGCAATTGGAACAGCCTCACTGACAGAAATTGTAAAAGCAGGGGCCTCAATGACAGGTGGGCGTGTCCCTAATGGGGTCACAGTCACTTCCACTGGTACTGTGGCAGTCCTACATCAAAAGAAAAACACAGCTAGTTCTAATTTAATAAAAAATTGAAGTGTTTAATGTATTCATAGTTCATAATTAAAAAAAAAATAAACATAAACAAATTGCTTGATGAGAGTTTTATTTGTAATCTTCCCAGTGACAAGCTTTTTCAGTACTTCCCCCTCCTTTTAAATGACACACCCCTTTACCACTTTTCCCCTTAAGAACAGTACACTTATGTACCTTCTTTCAGAGACAGGTTGACCTTGGTCTGTTGCAGCAACCATGATGACATAAATTTCCCCCTCTGCTACACTTCCTATACAACTTATAGTTGCTCTTCTTGTTTGTGCATTTGGCTGGATTGAAAACTTGGAAGCCCCATTGTTTGAGACACTTTGTATGGTGTATACAATGTCACCATTTGCTCCGTTATCTGCATCACTGGCTGATACCTACATAGTATGAATTCAAAATACATAAACTTTCATTATCCATGTTACTTAACATAGCCCATTCTGCACATAAATCATGTAATTTAAATTTAGTGTTATTTATTAATTTTCACCCACATCCAGTAAAACTTGATTGTTTGTAGTATAATCTCCTTCTGTAATACTATCTACGTATCTCGGTGCACCAAATACTGGAGTGTTGTCATTCAGGTCTCGCACATTTACAGTGACCTGTACAGTTCCACTTCTTGGGTTCTGGGTTCCAACTTCAGTCGCTGTGACCTACATTTTCATTTTAAGGAAAAAAACACCTTAGTAAGTCATGTCAAGGACATGCTACAGTAAAATAATCTCATCATAATAATATGGAAGTTTGTAAAGGTCGCATCAGCACATTCTCTTACTTTGAAATCACACTTACAGTGAAAGTGACAGTTGGAGTGGATTCATAGTTTAATATGGCAGCTGCTTCTACATATCCTTCACTGTTTACTCTAAACTGTCCTGTGTTGACAGTGAAGGTGTACTGTCCAGTCTCACCTACAATCTGTAATTCAATACCATTAGTTACTTCTCTTCTGTCAAGTATTATGTCAAAAATCCCACAATTTTTATATGATCATAATTGATTAAAAATTAAAATCTTACCAAGTCAGGATCAGTAACAGTGATTTTCAATAGGTTAGATCCATCAATATTCCTTGGTATGGTTCCAACTGGTGAATTTTCATTAATGTATCCTTGGAAAGGTACACTAAGCACTGGGTTATTGTTATTGGCTGCAGCAACTGACAATTTTATTGTAGCTCTGTTGGAGTATCTGTTTGCAACATTTTCTTGAGCCTGTGGATAAAACAGTATGATTAAAATAAGCATGAACACCATATAAGATTCAAAAGACTTCATATATTGAAAGGCAACATGTACCTCAATGAAAAGTTCCAGCTCAGAAACTTGGGACCTGTCAATGGATGCTGTCTGGCTTACAAGGGCTCGATATTGACTTGCTGAGCCAGAAACTTGTTGTGTGGTGACTTGGAATCTATTCTCATACCCAGCTGGCAAGGCTAATATGAAATATAGAAACTGTTAGTTGTAGATTACCGAGTTCAACAAAAATATGGCAAAAATTCTTAAATAACAACTGTTGATAAATCATTAATTAAACATGGTAAAATTAACTAATGTCCAATACAAGACCCTTGATGATTGTTATTCTTTCATTTATCCTCCATTAAAAAATCATTAGAATTCAAAAACCACATTTAGATTCAATTTAACTAAATATGTATTAAAAAAAAATTAAGAATACTTCTTTAGTTGTAACTAATTTATGAACCAGTCCTAACTGGAAGAAACAGTCTAATTGGGAACAACAACCCGTGAATGAAATGTGTAGTTTAAGATTACACTACTGATGTAACCTTTTGTGTTGCACATATGTTCTAATTTTCAATATTTCCGATCATATAAAAGTCAAACACCGTGTCCTTACTTTGACGTATGGTAAAGGTGATTGGAGCATTAAGAGTGTCCCTGTCTTCTGCAACGATGTCAACCGCTGCACTGGGATTCCCAGGAACCACAGGTACTGGGTTAAATACAAGTGTGCCAGCCTACAAATAAACAATGTTACATATGAAGATCTCCAGTAATAGACAATGCCTAAAGTTAACAGTTAAAATCACTTTGTTCTATTCTGAATTCATTATCCTTTATCTTATAGCATTGGGTAAAACTTAAAGATACATCTTTGCTGTGAGCATGATTTTGCAACAACTGCATTTGCTATACCCTTTACCACGTAAAACCTTATACAGCTAAACGCTCAATCTTGTATAAGGTCATGAAACTCACCGTTGACCCAGATGTAACACTTGTTGTGTAAGTTGGGTTAAAACAAACATTGTTGACATTAAAACAGGAGGAATACACAAATTTGGGTCCTAAATCATCCACATCATTTATAGTTATTGTGATGGTGGTGGTAGTCTGTTTCCTATCTGCAACGTTGCTGGCTTTATCCTACATAACATGAGAAAAAAAATCAAAAACAACAGAATATATTTTCAGATTTCCAACTTCAGTAGTTGAGAATATAAATATGAATATATCATTCATCACAAAAATTCCTTTACCCAGATGCTTTTTACTCTTGGAAGTTAATTAATGCACAACTAATGGGTTGGAAATGTGATATGAAACAGTAGCTTTTGTACTGTAATATATATATTATTTGATTCAAGTAAAGCATTAAAAAGAATTGAAAATTATGTAAAATTTAAAAAAGTAACAAATAATCTTCTCAAGCACCATACACGTTACCGCTTTCTGGTGATGCTGTTCTGAAATATGATATACATGTACTCACTGTCGCAGATATGGTGAGGGTATATGACCGAACAGATTCAAAGTCTAAAGAATTGCTGACAACTATTTCTCCTCTTGAAGTGATAGGAAGTGCAAATTTGGTTGCCCCATCATTCTAAAATAGAAGATGTGTGCTATTTCTTTCTACTCGTTAAAAATAATGCATTTAAAAGCTATAAATGTATTAAATTTTGTTACTTCAGGCTTCACAAGCCCCTCCCCCTAAAACACAATCCCATTCCACCCTTCAACCCCACACAAAAAAAAAAAGAAATTTATTTCCCCTGTTTCATATAACAAAATGTTTTGCTCATTAAAAAGCCCTAGTGTGTTCGTTGAATTGTTTACTAGTATTTTACAGATTTCTCCATTTTTCAATTGTCAGAGGACACAAAGCTCTTAAAACAACTTCTGCAAATTAATTTTTTGAATTGTACAGCCTGTTTGACATTTTTTAATTTGCCATTTCCAGTCTTTCTGATAGAGTCAAATGGTAATTAATTTGACAATATGACATTTTCTTTGGACCCAGTTTTGTTTAAAAAAATTCAAAAGCTTGCGGATAATATTTTTACAGCGTCAGTTTGATGCAGAGATTTTTTAAAGAACTTTAAAAATCTATTTATTTTTATGTGTATATGTTTTGCATTTAAATATGTGTAATAGAAACACTATGATATATCATAATCTTATTTTCCTAACTTCCAGTAATACTTCACCGAATAAAGTTTGATAAAAAAACATAAGTGGAAATTCAAATCAAATATAAACACTCACAATGCTTCCATCTCCAGGAACTATGGCATACTCTATTTCTTTGTTGCTTCCTGCATCCAGATCTGTAGCTGTTATCCCAGAATACACTGTTGTTCCCACTGGTGCAGACTAAAAATATTTTTTAAAAGTTTTAATAAAATGTTGATGTGTGCAGAAAAAAAGAACCTAATTTCCCAACAAACCCTTGTATTTTAAAGGAGTTGGGATTGTAGAGCTAATTCTACTTTCTGGTTAAAAGGTTTAATTAAATGCATTAATCTATCTACTCTATCAACACGTTTTTACGAAATCCTTAAAGAGATCATGAATGATTATTCTTTTCTTAATTTATATTTATAAATATAAATCCTTTTCGTGTAGTAATTCTGACAGACCTCATCGACTGAAGCAGAATAAGGTGCGTTTCCAAATATAGGTGCATTATCATTTATATCTCGAATTTCCAACTGCATCAGGAAAAACTTTGTTTGTGTTGGGTCTTTCTACAATTACAAATTCAAAGAAATATTTTCAGCATTTTTAAAAATCAATGATATCAGTAAAGATCACTTCAATCAATAAGTAACTAGTCACTACTGAATGAAATTTTTACAGATGAAGGTAAAAATTTTTCAAAATAAACAGGTTCACATTAGCAAGGTACTTACCAAAGAACGACATGATAATTGAAATTCAACAGTGTCAAGATCATCATTAGCTACATAGGAAGTCCCCTGTCAAAAAATTGAAAGAAGTATTCAATAAATGCAGTATTTAAAAAAAAATTGATTACCCTAGACTCATGTGATAACCATAAAATCCTTTGCACAAATAATATTATTCTCTTAATTTTCACATATCCAAACCATATGGTTTTTTGAAATAAAAATATTGCAATGATTTGATTGATTAAATTTTGCTTTCAATATTGCATAACATATTTAATCATACTGATTTAATTCACATAGATTTCAATTACTTACATCTTTTCTTAAGCATTTTTATTATTTTTTATGGTTTAAATCACAATTTATGAAACTTACATCTCTGTCAATTGCTGACTTTAATCGAATAAAAGTCCTAGTTCCAAATGTTGAACCTGATACTGGTAAAGTTATCAGTTCAAAAAGGTCATTTAAAACAAGACCAGTAGAAGTGGTTGGATCAACAAACGTTATGTTGACTCCCGAGTTCTGATCAGTTCCCTGATTTACTCCTTCTATCGTTGTGTCTGTCCTATAGAGTGGTGAATTTGGGTCAAAAGCAGAAAAAGTGGACTCGTACACAGTTCCGGCAATGTTAGGATCAGGTGAACTGCATGCTGTAATTAAATATAATGTGTAATTACAATAAAACATGCTTACAGTGAACATGGTTAAATGAATTGACATTTACAGAGAAGTGATTTTCATTCCCGATGACTTTCAAATACATAGTAAACTTAACCAATATTATGAATGACGCTTATAACAAAGCAAAATCTTCCATCACTGGCACTTTGTTATAAGCATGTTACACTGTAGATTACAGTATTTAATAGTTTCAATTTTGACATTTATTTTACATGTAGTATTGGAAAATTTAAAAAATGCATGTTTTTATTCAGGGATCAAAATGTACCATTTAATAATAATAATAAAAAAATTTCTTGCACTTACGTTCCAGCTGTGAATTCACCGTCTTTGTTGATAGCACCACTAGTGTGAAAAGTACTGCTAATAAGTACTGCTTCCACATCTTGAAACTTGAGGAACCCTGTCCTCTCCTGGAAATAAAAGTAAATTTTTTTCTTATAAAGCCAGGTTTTAAACTTTAAAATAACATATCCAGCGATTCTCTTTCTAAATTTGTCCATCAGAATTTAATCTCATCAATATCTCAATCTTTCTTCTTTTTAGACAGCACAGGAAATCTTATTTCTACGCCATTTTGTGTATGGACTCCAGTAAAATTTATGGCTTTAATATGGCTAAAAGTTGTTCATTCATTTTTCTTCTGCAGGTTAAACATAAAAAAATCTTTTGTAAGGAAGCAAGATGGATTGCTATTTGATTATATATAAAGCTACTGGATAGAGTAGAGAAAATATTTTAAAAAGTGAGACATGTCACTTCAATAGCTTGGGTAATATTTGTTTTATGTAAAAAAAAAAAAAAATAAGTAAACTAATATAACTAATAATTACTACTTAGAAAAATAATAAATAAATCTTTTCAATGACTAACTGTTTCAGACCCTTAGTAAATGCTTTCTACAGCTCTACCCTTTAAATGACGTGCTTTCAATACACAAGCATTGGAGCATTTAATTTAGGTTTACCTGCCCTACCCAACCTTACTGGTAGAACAACTTTTTCTATATTTACCTTTGTTTAATCAAGTATTATACAACACTGAAATAATTATTGGAGATTTATTTTTCAGCCCCTGTAATTAAAATCTAAGATATTTATCTTTCCATTGGACAATTAAGAGTTGTACCAATGCATTATAACATTGTATCAATAAATTACAAGTAGTGGTACATCATTTGTACATGCTAATGTTGTGACATATTTTCAATTTTTTTCTTTTTTGGTCAATTGACAATTTGTATGAACATAAAATAAATAAAATTGAAAAGTTAATTCAAGTAAGTGCAGTTGTCAAAAGGTGTGGCTTGCTGTTGCATCTGAAAATGTAACAGTGGGGTATGGATGAAATTGTGTATTTACATGCACATCTTAGATAATCACCATTACTTTGTCGTAAAAAAGGGAAAACATTATTTTTGAATATGACTTTCACAAAATTCTTGTTTTTATCTAACATTTATCATTTTCTGATACTATGGGGTACAAGCATGTTACAAAATGATTATGACACAATCAAAAACAAACATCAAGTTAGCACCTACTTAATTACAGCATCATCAAATGATTTTGTAAAATCTATATATGTAATATTCCTTTTGTATACAATACTTTCAAAACAGGTTTTTCTTTCACGTGGGGTGTATCTTCTCCAATATTCTATCAATAACTCTCCATTCATTTATGTTTTCTTATTCCATGAAAACATATTAAATTAAAAAAAAAATCCAGTTAAAATAACAATTCATAAATTCATTTCACGTTATCCCCTTTCATTTAGTGGATGCAATGCATATTCAAACATGCTTGCATGCACCTTTATGTTAATTCCTCTAAGAATTAAACGGTACCGGTCTTTAATAAAAGAAATAAACAAAAGTTAATTAAACAATTACCTGTAAGTTTAAATCCTCAACGAAATTGTATGCAATCAATCCAATAATATTTGAAATCAAAGTGGAATTTCTCGAAAGGGATAATTTTCCTCGCTGCGATGCTGATGAGAAATCAGTAGCCACTCATGTTCTAAAAGTACCGCGGCTCTGTTTCACCACACCTTGTGAAGTCAGGTATGACAATAATATTCAATGATTCAATACGAATACCTTTACATTGCTTCTATTTTGGAACCCTAATCGACTCATACCGATCCAGGCGTAGGTTGACAAACCGGTTCTGCAAGCTTTGAAAGAAGTTCGCCAATACCGTCTATTTTTATCAACCAATGGAGTTAAAGGTAAACCCCCAAAACGTATCGACTCTGTTGTGCTTTAGTTTCGTAATTTTCATTCATCAATGTGGGACAGGTTAAGTAATGGTTAAAATTACTTTTTTATTTCAGAAAAAAATATGTACGAAAGAAAAAATAATTTCATTATTAAAAAAAGCTCTCTAAAGATATAGTGCACACCAGGGACCTATAGGCCATATAAAATTAATCTACATGTAAATTGACCTTTAACTCATCAATCCCGTACCCGCCCCTATATCTAGTTTACAAAAAATGTAAAAAAAAAAAAAATTTATATGTAATTTTTTATTTTGATTTTTGAGAAAAAAGTATATACATGTATTTTTTTTCAGTAAGAAATTACATAAACAGTTCAAAGTTAAAAGTTAGAGATCTTAACTTTTTTGCATTAAAGCCCTAACGCGTGTCGCTAAAAACGCCCATGTGAAGAATTAGAGAAAAATGGCAATAAAAGAAGTTTAAATGTGTAAGGAAAAGATAGCTTGTCAGTATAGAGAAGGCAGAGAAAAAAATAGCAAAACAATCAATATTGATACCATTCACTGGCAGGAGCCCGAGTATGTAGAGAGATTGTAACTAAGTAAAAATATAAAAGTAAAATGACACCTGGTCAAGTTATATAGTGACCAATCTCCAGCTGTGTGACTTTGCTTTGAAATAAACAAAATCTACAACATCGTATACATACTGTTGACTTATGTAAAGGCCTAGATTTTTAAATACAATAATTATTAGAACATTTAGATTTTGCAAAATAAAAAGTCAGCTCGGCAGCATCCCTACCTCATTTTGTTCAGGGTGTGCATAACCCGTATAATGTGTACTTGATAACAAGCACATGTACAAAATGAAAATATCGGGTACTATTCACAATAAATATTTAATTTTTAAACAAAAATTTTCTTTAAATATTTAAAAGAATATGAAAAGAATTTAAAAAATGTATTAAAAAAATGTCCAGTCAAGTAAAACTATAGCTACATACATGTTATCTATAAACATTTCTAGAATTACATGAATTGAATGAAAAATATATTTGTTGACTTAATTTACCATTTTAATTTCGAAAGGTGAATCATTAAAAAGAAAATGAAAGGGGAATTAAAGGATAATCATTAATTACCACTTGTCTTCTATCAACCCTTTGGAAAATAATATTCTACTGTCGAGAACTTCAGGCCAGCAGAATTCGGGGGGAGGGGGAACGCACAATATTACATTAAAGGAGAAATGTCACAAGAGGGTGTTTCTAATTGATACAGATATACACAGGTATATGCAGAAATATTGCAGAAAAAAAAAAAAATTTGAAAAAACTTTAGGAGAAACATTTGAAGCAGAAACGTATCCCCGAGTTAACAGTTAAAAGTATCCCGAATACATGTATAAACAAAATAAACATAAAAATAAAAATAAACAAAATCTACAAAATTTAAAAAACATGAGTCAATTTAAATATAGCTAGATTTTTCCATAGAAAATTATTATAACATTTAGATTTTGCAAAATAAAAATATATTTGTTCCCTACCTCATTTTGTTCAGGTGGGTGTGCCGGGAAATGTGTACTTGATAACTTGTTAAACCCTTTGGAAAAATATTTAATTTTTAAAGCAAAAATTTTCTTTAAATATTTAAAAGAATATGAAAAGAATTTAAAAAATGTATTAAAAAAATGTCCAGTCAAGTAAAACTATAGCTACATACATGTTATCTATGAAACATTTCTAGAATTACATGAATTGAATGAAAAATATATTTGTTATAATTTACCATTTTATTTCGAAAGGAAAATTAAAAAGAAATTGAAAGGGCAATTAAAGGATAAGATTAATTACCACTATCATCATTCTAGGTTCAACTTGCTTTGTCCCCACGTGTAATTGTTGTTTAAATGCTGGTAAACATGATTCTACTGTACGATTGGTTAGTATTGTCAGGGTATTGTTGGGGGGATGGGGGAATATGCAAAGTATTTTTGATTACATTGAAAGGAGAACATGTCACAAGAGAGTAAAATTTCTAATCAGATACAGATATACACAGGTATATGCAGAAATATTATCTAAATATTACTTTAGGAGAAACATCTGAGGAAACGTAAACACACAATAATACATGTATGTTGCAATATGTGGTATATAATGTATAGTATACACATGTACATGCAGAAAACATTATAAAATACTTTAGGAAACATTAAACGTATCTCATCCAAATACATGTATTTTGAGATGTGTGGTATTCACAATTTATGGTTATTACAAAAAAAATATATATATATATATTTCTATAAATATGTATATCAAATGGTCAACTTAAGGTACATCATGTATTAAATTTATTCATATACTTGATATACATATTAACTGATAAGAAATATCAGTAACACACATGAAATGTAAGATTAAGTGCTAGGGTAAAAAAATAAAACGGACAGAGGTAAATAAGACATACAAACGAACAAAAGTCCACTGGAAATAAATTATATTCATTATGTTTCAAGTTTTAAAAAATTAAAAAAAAAGGTTCAGACGAAAGAATACTTAAAGAAGTGTATCGTATTATACAAGGTACATGTATTCTGAAATGTTGTCTTTCAGCAGTGGAGCTGTTACAAGAAATTTTAGGCGTAACCCTCTATTAAAAGTACAAGGTGAGCACTCTAAAACAGTAAATAAATATATTGGAAATTATTAAAAAAATTTTAGCACAATTTTTTAAATTGCAGTTAATGGGAATTTATTACAGTGAATGAAATAATACATCTTTAAAAGGAAGTTTTGAGCATATTTATACAAGATTAAGTTGTGTTTTCATTGCTCTCCAAAATAGAAGAGAGAGAGAGAGAGAGAGAGAGAGAGAGAGAGAGAGAGAGAGAGAGAGAGACTAAACCCATATGAAACTTGTATGTCCGCTCTTTCTCATGCTTAAGTGTTACAGCGGACCTTTTAACATATACATGTATTGTTCAGTTAACTTGTTACTAGATTGACACCAAACCCCCCAAAATAGTCATCTTATCAACATTTATTCCTGTGTAAAAGCATGGTGAAAAAAATTAACCAGAAGTCTCTTTCGAGACAAGCTGTAGCTCAACTGGTTTGTACTTATAACAAATGAAGAGGAAAGTAGCAGCTGGACTTGAAACAGCAATAAAAAGAATAATGATTTAAAATCACACCAAATCTGTAAGAGGAGTAGCATTTTAAAAGTATATCACATATGTAGCTTCCTGTTTTAGTAGACACAGCACAATCATTCATTGAAATAAAAATTGATAAAAAGATTTATGTTTTTTAATGTAGTCTACTTAAGTGACAAGATGCATTGAAAACAGAAATCAGACCAATAGTAAAAGGAGTACCATTTTGAAAGTATTTCAAAGAAATTTATATTTTTAGTAACAGTTAGACTGCTGTCTAGTTGTATATTGAAATCAGACCAAAACTTATCAGAGTGAATTATTTATGTCAGTGTAGGAAGCAATTTCAGTGTAGTCTACGAATATGTGTGCCAAGTTATATGAAACTGACCAAAATTTGTGCAATAAAAAAGTCATCACTATTGAGGGGCACAAGCATACAGTAGGTAAACGTTCTATAGTATTCTATATATCGGCAAAATTATTTGGGATGGGGCTCCAAGGCCATAAACCCTTATAGACCCCCCCCTCACTTTTGATCCTCACTTTTAGCAGACCAATATATAGAGGAAATTGATACTCAGATCAAAATAGACAACAGACACTCATTTTATCCCAAAAGCTTTGGACGCTGACCAGTATCTTCTAGAGCTAAAAATGAATTCGGTTCTACTCCTTCCCTAATTTATCGCTACACCTGGTCTCAAGACCCTGTGCGAAGGAGAGACCCTGAGTGGTGCAGGGTCTGCCTTCATAAAACATACTTAAGTCTGATACTTTGAGAGATATTTATCATACCAGTATTTGCCGTACATGTACTTGATTATCCATTTCTACTGCCTCTCCAGAGAATCTAAATCGAAAAAAGTTGTATAAGCCTAAAGATTCCATTTGGTCCCAGCAGCCACTGCCATGCCATGTCTGCTGAAGCAATAAACAAACAGACGACAACGTAACTTCCGGATAAATTGCGGAAGTAGATAAACTGCCTTTTTAGGCGGCCTTGTTCAACATCAAAATACATTACAAGTAGAGCTTTTTTAAAAAGCTTCCCGTCTTTAGCAACAATCTTAAACTGTAAACTGATCTACACCTATCAGGCCGTATAATTCTTTTGAATTTCTTGATTTTGTATTTCTACATTAGCTTTTTACTGGCATTAGCCCTACCACGGTTGTCGCTCGGTCATCTCCGTAAACTTTGACTCGCCGAGAGCTTTCGGCAAACCTCGGCTGATTCCATTTCCTTCTTCAAACAAGAAAGGGGAAAAGAATAATAACAAATTGTAAAGCCTGCAAGCAATAAAAATCAAATTTTATTTATAATGAAGTTAAAGAGATCTTTTTATTTTTTGCTATACAAAAAATCGTGTTTTTTTTTTTTTTTTTTTTTTTTTTTAACATTTTATTTAGAAAAACAAAACAAAATATACATGTTACACACAGTGCATTTGATTTGGTAAGTTGAACAATTACATTCTTTCTATTTGTCATGTAAAAATCATATGGAATAATTTATCACAAAATATCAAAATGAAGAAAAGTCATTAACAAATACAGCTGATTATCTTATGTATGATTGTATAGGTTTTATCAAAATTCAATGGAAAAAAGTCATAAAAAATACAGCTGATTATCATATGTATACTTGTATATAGGTACCCTTATATATCTGGGCATATATTGTATAAAACCTTATTTTCACCTCCAGCTCAAACACAGTCTATTTATTTTTTCCCAGAAGAGATTTGTAGAATAACAGGCTTATTCTACAATGGGTTTAAAAATATATAGTTTCTCTTTAATACATTTTAAAACATTATAATATTTCATATGGTTAATTTTCTTATATACTTCACTAAAAATATTCAATATACTCTTCATATGATAACATATTTCTTGAGGCTTTTCTTCTTTGTGAAAAATATACAGTACATTTTGTATTTGTAAATTTTACATGCAATCAAGGATATTATGCTATTCAAAAATAATATCTTTTCATTTTTTTTCATAATAAAATCCAATAACAATATTTCCCCATGATATATAGAGAATAATACATACCCTTTTCCACATTATATTAAAATCAGCCCGATAAAACCAATATCAGCCAGAGGGCCGAAGGAAGCAATTTCTGATACAGGATGTGATGTGGAAAAGGGTATGTATTATTATATTTATTACATACTTAGTAATAAAATACAGAACACATTAAGTTGAGAAGAAAATAAGTAAATAATCATATGGATTTTCTGCAGTATTTACAGAAATATACATGATCTATTGTCTGGGGGATTTGGGTTTGTTTCTACTTCTATTTCAATGCACTCGATCCGTAATTTGAAAATAATCTATTACATGTATTTGTAAATTAAGATTAACCTTATTTTCAAAAAGTTAAAATTAAGAGAATATGAACCCACCAAAAATTGTATACGATCACAAGTACTGTTTTTGTGGTTTAATTTACTAAGGGTGTGATATTGACATCACAATAGCCGTATCAGCCCTGCAGGGCTGATATGGATTTGCGGGGCTGATATAGGTTATCAGCCCTGCAGGGCTGATACGGCTATTGTGACGTCAGCCATATCGCATATGCAAAAAACCTGTATTTATTACTAAGTGTGTAATAAATCAAATTTCAAAACTTGCTGAACAACATCCCATATATAAGAAACATTTTGACATTTTAAAATAAGATGTTCATTGTTTTCTTTTACATCTTTACAAAAAGCACACATTTCATTTCAACAATTTTCCATTTCTTCAACATTTCTCTATTACACAATAAGTTATTTAATAATCTGTATTTTCTGTATACAAAAAATCATGTTATTAGGAATTAATTACTGCTGATTTTGTTGTTCGTTTTGTCATTTTTTTTTTAAGATTGAAAATCTTGCAAAATTGTTAAGCAGCCACTGCCATGCCATGTCTGCTGAAGCAATAAACAAACAGACGACAACGTAACTTCCGGATAAATTGCGGAAGCAGATAAACTGCCTTTGTAGGCGGCCTTGTTCAACTTCAAAATACATTATCACATTATTTTGATTTTTATTATATAGCAACGTGGGAGGGGGCAACCAGCTTTGGGCGATCATTTCAAACAGTAAAATGTTGAAAAATGTGCCCCGTCTGAAAGTGGTCTGGACCCCCTCCTTTGAATTTGCAGAGTTATTTTAAATGTATCCCAAAGTACCAAAACACTGTCACCATAAGCGGAAAACATCCCGATTTCGCATAAAAATGATACATATTGTATTTATAAAAAGAAAGGTATTTTTGCTAATATTGTTTTTGACGCATTTTGAGCGGCTTTTCAGCACTAAAAATGACGTGCGTGCATTCATTTACAAACGGCGCGGAGTTTTCCGAAAGTCACGGAGTTAAGGTAGTGACGGAGTTTTGGCACTCGGAGTTCCTCGGATGACTCGTGCCTCGCACGCGGAGCGGAGTCAGCCGAGGATTGCCGATTGGAGTTTTGGGCCCCACCCAGAATCAAATGGTTGTACCCAAAATAAGCCCGGCTGACTGTACTCGGTTCTATAAGTACTGAGTACTTTGATATTTTTGCTCATTGAAGAATTTATTATTGTTGAACCCCTCCTTCCCCCGCTTGAAATGCGGAAGGGTACATAGGCCTAGTAATCGGGATGTGCATCCGTCCGTCCGTCTGTTACGCTTTGAGGAACCCATCTCTTATCCGCATCTCCTCTTATAAATACCACTGAATGAAATTTATGAGACTTTCAGAGAATTTACTTTTTCATCCGACACATATTTTGGGTTTCCCATAGCAAAACATGACACTGCCATTATATTCCTATGATGTGAAGTGTGGAGGCTTGTGAATAACATGGGGCACCGCGAGTTATTCCTCTTTACACATTACCGTAAAATAGAGAGGAAAAACCCGGACACTGCCATTATATTCATACGGGAGGCGGGGGTATCATTTAGTGAGCTCATTGCTCACAGAACCTCTAGTTTTAAATCGTAGTCATGTGGTAATGTATAAAATAAAATTTGTTTAGTGAAAAAAATGGATTCCTCATTTCCATTTAAGGACTCACTCTCCAATTTTTTGTAGGCGCGTTATATATCGCGCGCATGAAGCTTTAATTAAAAGTCAACGACCCGCTCCCCCTTCTTTTATGTTTTTTTTTCTATCTGCAATGTCTGCAGACAAGTTCAAGACCATTTAATTCAGAGAATGCTTGATTTAAACAAAGATGTTGAAATTCCTGTTTCATCCACCTATCCTACAATACCACCCACATTTTAACAGCATACATGTATCTAGGGGAGATCAGCGCAATGTTTGTTTCGTTTTCCCGATCATGACAAGGGACACGTTGTTGTGACTGGTCGACAGAGGGTGTTCTCTTCTTTATGGCATCTTGTCCTTTCTCTGATGATTTTTTAGATCAGAGAAAACGGGCAGAGGTAAACAAGACATAACAAACAAAAGTCAAATGGAAATAAATTATATTTATTATGAATCAAGTTATAAAAATAATGGCTATTTAATATTGCAATTCTTAAGTGTTTTTTTTTTTTACCTCCACATTTTTTGGAAGAAAGATATTCTCAAACAACCCGTTTCCTTTGTTTCTTTAACTTCAAATTCCAAGCAAAGAATTGATGCAGTTACTTAAAGCTATATTTTTTAATCACAAAAGGGTCTAGAAACAACAGATCATACAAAATATGAAGAAATGTTAAGTTTATATCAGAAACATACCGGTATTTGAAGATCCCATCTCCTATTTTTTTTCTTTTTCACAATTTTCTGTAAAACCAGTAAAACCTTTGATATTTTGATTATGAACTTTTCTTTTACTAGGCATCGAACTGAACGGAATTTCTATTCCATCAGGGAAAATCTTGACAACAAATCTTTTACTGTTGTCTACAAACGAAAATGTATCCATTGTATGGCTTTTTAAGTTGGCAAAACTCAGGGTTCAATTTATAGAAGAATGTTGGTCCATTGGGCTTCAAATTCACAACAGGGACAAGCAGTTTCTATACAACCACTTTAATTTACATGGTTATTTTATTTGGCAATGAAAGCAAGAATTCCCACGAATGGCCCATCACTGAGTACTTGGTATACACTGTAACATGTCACTTTTCTGTAGACAACGAGATTATAGAAATCTAGACTCTTTCTTTCCGTATGCTCAGAACATAATTAATTTATATTCGGACGAACAAAGTGAGGGAGAATATAACTGTTAAAATATACAACCTGTAAGTGAACATTTCATAATCTTTATTGAACGAGTTCCATACATGAAACATGTCAAAGATTGACTTTTTTGCAGGTATAATGTCTATATTTTTTCCAAGTCAGAAAAACGCCAAGAACCTGAAGAACTGAAAGAAAAATGCCAATAAATGTACAGCTGATCTCAATAAATGGAAGAAAAAAAGGGAGACTTAGAATTACATGTACATGTGTATGATATATATAATTTTACATATAAAAGGTTTTCCTTATTCCATGACAAAATTTAAAAAAAAAGAAAGACATTACATGCACTGTTAGGAAAATGAAATCCACGGCGCCTCCCTATTATTATAGATAAAAAATCAAATAATTGAGAGAGAGAGAGAGAGTATTTCTAGGTAAAAGATTTAAAAAGCAAAGCTATTAAACTGTAAGTGTTCCAATACTTACTATTAATGTCATCACTGAATAAGAAATTCGAATAGATACTGCTTTGCTAGGAATTAACTGCGCTCCAGAAGGACCAACCTTTACTTCAATTTGGACTGAGGAACTTCTGCAATATTGACAATTCATTTTCTTATGAGATTGGTGGATGTCAACTACTACAACAGTATAGGCATTGGCATCTTTCAAAAAATGTTGTAAACGGAAATATCCATAGACAATCCAGTGTGAAAATAATAATTTCCCTGTAATTATGCCGGTAATTTAGACCCAGGTCTTGTTTTAAAGGCTTGAATTTTAAAATGATGAAAATAATGTATTACCTCCTCCTTGATATTGGTAATACACGATCAGTTGCACGTACTACAATGCCGAACGACTGTCCCTTAACAATGTAACCACCACATGTAATGACGGCCTTATTTTCACTATTTGATTCCAGAGAGAACACACTGTCGCCGTTGTTTGAAATACTCTGAATATCGTACTCAATGTCATCCAAATCATCGTCAGTGGCTGAAATCTGAATACTAGTACATAGAATTGAGGATATACATATATATGTATATCATAAATAAATGCTGAAAATTCTATTACTTTAGCTTCATGAAGTCTTAATTAAACTAAAAGACATAATAAATGTGATTTACCATCAGAATGCGTTGGTGGTACTCAGTATAATTTCCCTCCAAAATGTTTACAAAGTATACAGGAGCAGAAAATAGTGGGGAATTGTTGTTGCAGTCATCAGAAGTTTGGTTACCGGTGTTGGCTGCAGCCAAGAACAACTTTATTGTAGCTCTGTCAGAATATCGGTGAGCTACATTCTCTTTAGCCTGTTTACAAGAGAAAACCAGTAAACTGCAATGTAAAAAGTAATCAAATATTTTTAATCATTGAAATCTGTACAAAGAAGAGAGAGAAAGTGAAACAGTCCAAACAAACCTCAATGAAAAGTTCCAGCTCAGAAACCTGGGACAAATTTATTGCTCCTGTTTGGTTAACAAGGGCTCGATATTGGTTTGCTGAGCCAGAAACTTGTTGAGTGGTGACTTGGAATCTGTTCTGGTACCCAGATGGTAAAGCTGTATGATAAAATGAAATATGGTGATAAAGAAACTATTCAAGCTCAAAAATCCATTTAGGAGCACAGCGAACACAGACCTCTGAATTATAAGAGTGGAAATCAGAGGAAATACGAATGACAGATAAGAAATTGTTTTTTAATGAGTTATTTTATACTAGATGCAAATAAAAATTAAAATGATAAGCAAACCTAATAAAATAAAAGTGTTAGTAAACGCAGTAAATCAATGTTATAAACATGTACACAGACTCTTAATTTCAATTATGATTTTATCTGTCCACTTATTTCAACATAAAATGAAAGAAATGACAAAACTTCTACTAGCTGGATAACTCTGTGTTGTTGAATGCAATTTATAAATTAGTTACAACGAATTTAACTGCCAAATAATACTGACAAGAGCAGTGCTAACTGGAAAGAGCATTTGTTTTAAGATTACATAGGTACCATCCAATCCCTTTGACATATCGTTAATAAAATATGTTAAGTAAAACAAACTACTACTAGTATTCATCAAACGAATGTTGACGTGTCCTTACTTTGTCGTATTGTAAAGGTGATTGAAGCATTAAGAGTGTCCCTGTCCTCTGCAATGATGTCCACTGTTGCTTTGGGATTTCCAGAATCCACGGGTACCGGACTAAATACTAGAGCACCAGCCTGAAGGATGTTATATTTGATGTAATCCAATAAAACAAAGTAAGACCGCGTTGTTTGGCAGTTGTAATTGCTTTAATTTTTATATTCTTTATTCATCAATTGAAATCCTATGTTATTTACTACTGGGTGAGAAGTAACGTTATATTTCAGATTACATGAATATAATACTAGTATCTAGTTGACCTTTGAAGAACAATATCAAAAGTTTACTACCATGCATATTTATAAGATACTGCTATAAATATCAATTGTGCAAAAAGAAACTAACTGTTGATCCAGATGTGATACTTGACGTATAAATTGGGTTAAAACAAACATTGTTGACATTAAAACAGAAGGAATACACAAATTTAGGTCCTAAATCATCCACATCATTTACAGTTATTGTGATGGTGGTGGTAGTCTGTTTTCTGTCTGCAACATTGCTGGCTTTGTCCTGAATATTGGTAAAAAAGCCTCTAAATTGAATTTACATCAAAAGTGCTATACATAACTGTCATGTTTAGTACAGTCAAGAAGATTATTATGGATAAAATATGTCACAAAAATTCTTTTAACTATGGCAAATTCTTTTTACTCCTTAAAGTTACTGCACTGCATTTGAGATGTGATATTGAAAAATAGGGGTTTTTGTTACATATGTATTGAATCTATTGATTAATATAAATTACATGATAATATTTAAGTTATAATGAAAGAAAATGCAAAAAAAGAATATAGGAAGACTCAAGCATTTTTTTCTATTTCCATCTGTACATGTTTAACTTTATTCTTTATTCTGAAATGTGATACTCACTGTCGCAGATATGGTGAAGGTATATGACCGAACAGATTCAAAGTCTAAAGAATTGCTGACAACTATTTCTCCTCTTAAAGTGATAGGAAGTGCAAATCTGGCTGAACCATCAGTCTGAAAACCCCCAGACAAATCCTACTCAATTATCATAACTATCACTTTTAAAAAGTCTTATTACATTTAATGTTTTTACTTTTCTATTGAAATCAATCCTTCCAAAAACCAAAGCACATATAAACAGAATATGATTTTTGGCATTACACAAAAGCATTTTTATTTGCATGTCCATAAAATTTAGTTAAACTTATGAAAATTTGTCTAGCACTTCATGTTTCCTCAAGATTAAAAAAAAAATTAACATAATAAGTAAGTAAAATACATGTATGAGCACTCACAATACTTCCATCTCCGGGTACTATGGCATACTCTATTTCTTTGTTGCTTCCTGCATCCAGATCTGTAGCTGTTATCCCAGAATACACTGTTGTTCCAACTGGTGCTGACTTAAATATGGTTTTAGAATTTTTCATTCCTCAACTTCATACCAGGTTCATGTTCTTTTTATTTTCAGTTAATTGGATTGGGTCTTTAATGAAGTACTCAGATATAAAATGTGTTTAGCACCTACATGTATCTACGTTTAACTTTCGAAAATTTTATTTAATTCAATAATCAAATTATTAATAAACTTCGCATAATTTGACATTTTGTTTTATTACAAAGCTGAATTAAATCTGTAAATAAACTAGTCTCATATACGTTGCATTTTGATACCGTATAAGTGGAAATTTTAGCGAGACGCAAATTTAGCGATTTCAACCTAAAATCTCGTATTTTATTTTTAGCGAGAAGTAATATTAGCGATTTTTAAATGCTTACTAAAGAAGCTATAACAAATAATTTTTAGCGATATAAAATTTTAGCGATGTCAGAACCCTCGCTAAAAATGCCAAAATTAAATCCTCGCTAAAATTCTACTTATACGGTACTAGTATACAATACTAATAAGGCTGTAGTGCAAATTTCATGATGGATTTTGACAAACCTCATCGACTGAAGCAGAATAAGGAGCATTTCCAAATATAGGTGCATTATCATTTATATCTCGAATCTCCAACTGCATCAGGAAAAACTTTGTCTGGGTTGGGTCTTTCTAAAAATGAGATTTCATTGAAATAGTTTAGTGATTTTCATGAAAATGTATACATATATTTTTATTTATAGAAAAAATTCAGACTATAATTTTGTAGTTATATCTTGCCGATTTTTTAGGTCACCTGAGTAAACTCAGGTGACCTATTGCTATCCGTGTTCGTCCGTCGTCGTCCGTCGTCCGTCGTTCGTCGTCCGTTAACATTTGAACATTTTCAGCTTCTTCTCTGCAACCACTGAACCAATTTCAACCAAATTTGGCACAAAGCATCTATGGGTGAAGGGGAACAAAAATTGTGAATTTCATGATCCCTGCCCCCCTGGGGCCTGAGGGGTGGGGCCAAAACCACTAAAATTAATGCAATCTTTAAAAATCTTCTTTTTTACTCCTGGACATCAAGCAGTCAAACTGTTTGCATGATTGTAATCAGCATTGAGTCCTTTACCAAAATTGTGAAATTCATGGCCCTGGGTTCAGGGGTTCTAGTGCTAGGGCGAGGCTAAATAAGTATATAGTGAAAATGCATTATTTCTTTGGAAATCTTTTTCTCTACTCCTGGGTATTAAATAAACCAACTAAGTACATAGTTATGATGAGCATGAGTGCCTCTGCCAAAATTGTGAATTTTATGGCCCCAGGGTCAGGGGTTCTGGTGCTAGGGCAGGGCTCTATTGATTATATATAGTGAAAATACATGATTTCTTTGAAAATCTTCTTCTCTGCCCCTGGGTATTAAATAAACTAACTAAGTGCATAGTTATGATGAGCATGAGTGCCTCTACCAAAATTGTGAATTTTATGGCCCCAGGGTCAGGGGTTCTGTCATTAGGACGGGGCTCTATTGATTATATAGTGAAAATACATGATTTCTTTGAAAATCTTCTTCTCTGCCCCTGGGTATTAAATATACTAACTAAGTGCATAGTTATGATGAGCATGAGTGCCTCTACCAAAATTGTGAATTTTATGGCCCCAGGGTCAAGGGTTCTGGTGTTAGGGGGGGGGGCTCTATTGATTATATAGCGAAAATACATGAATTCTTTGAAAATCTTCTACTCTGCTCCTAGGTATTAAATAAACCAACTAAGTGCATAGTTATGATGAGCAAGAATGCCTCTTTTAAAATTATGAATTTTATGGCCCCAGGGTCAGGGGTTCTGGTGTTAGGGGGGCGGGGCTCAATTGATTATATAATGAAAATACATTAAATCTTTGAATTTTTTTTTCTTTGTCTCTGGGTATAAAGCAGATGAACTACCTTTATAGTTATGATGAGCAAGGGCCCTAATCTTGCAGAATTGTGAATTTCAAAGCCCCAGGGTCAGGGGTGGGGTGGGGGCTCTACTTATATACTGAAAATGAATTTTTTGTTTGAAATCTGCTCTTTTGTATTTATAAAACATTTATTTTTTTATATTAAGGGTGCCTTTTTGAAATTTGTGCAATGTGTGGACCTAGGGTCAGGGGTTTATGTCACAGTGTTAGGGGCACTACTGGTTAGTTGGAATGCATTTTTGTTCCCCTACCCTACATATGGGTATTCAGTAAAAGCTAAGCAACTGCTAAGTGTATTGTTATGATGATCAATGGTGCCTCTTTCAAAATTGTGAATGTCATATAGCATCTGGCTTAAAACATGAATCAAATTCAATAACTGGAAAATTGTTGCATAATGCTCAGGTGACCTATAAGGCCCGTGGGCCTCTTGTCTTTTATCGAGATGCAAAATTAGCGATGTTTCTTACTGCTAAATAAAAATGTTACTGAAGAACAGCCAAATATTGAGGTTATATAGATGTAATGTACTTACCAAAGAACGACAAGATAATTGAAATTCTACAGTATCAAGATCATCACTAGCTATATAGGAACTTCCCTGTATAAATAAGATAAGAAAAAAGAAAGGAAAAACTATTAAGACTAGAGGTACTGTGAGCACTGAGCTCTGAAAATGATACCCCTACCTCCCATATTGTTATAATCGTAAAGTCTATGTTCTGTTCTAGGGGACCCGAAATAAGTGTCAGCCGAAAAAAGTAAAATAAGAGGTGCACAATGGCAAACGCGTAAAAAAAAGAATCTCTGAAATTATCATTAAATTTTATTCAGTGGTAAAGGAGGAGTTGCGGATAAGAGATGGATACCATTCAATATTATAAAATGGCAATGTCAATGTTTTGCTTTGAGAAACCCAAAGTATTTTTCCGATCACAAAGTAAAATGGGATATCACTTTGGCATCATGTAACAAAGAATCTGTGAGATTTCATTCAGTGGTTTAAGAGGAGTTGTGGATAAGAGGTTTCTAACCCTTAAGCGAAACAGACGGACGGACGGATATCCCGATCACTATATTACCTTTCACTTTTCAAGCGGGAGGTATTATATAAATATTGCATGTAGTTGAGTGTAACATTGAAAATTTTCACCCCAAGAAAACCATTGTCAACGGAGGCGCAGCCGAGGTTGACAATGGTTTTCGAGGGGTGAAAATTTTCAATGTTACACTCAACTACATGCAATATTTATTATATTATACTGAATGTTTTATACAAATACATATAACAGTGAACCGTGCGTGCATAAATTCTGCGCAGTCGCTATTTTTTGGAAAACCACCCGTCGTCAAGCAATGTTGACTGTTGCTACGCTGGAGGGCGTGGCTTCATTATTCAGCGGGTAATCGTGTTTTTTAGCAAATGTTTCTCGACCAATCAGATTCAACTAATTTACATGAAAGTATAATATAACTAAATAGTATAGTAAGACAAGTTATTTACAAAATCTTGCAATGCAACAATGAAATAATTGTGTATAGGTCAATGGTCAATCGTATATGAAACCATCTTTAAAAACATTATAATTAGGACAGAACAATATCATAAATATTATCTAAATGCATATTCATGTAATATAGATATTGCTTCTAACCAAAAAGCAACAAAATATACCCCCGGTATGATGAATTTTCAATTATATTAGCATTTTCATGTTCATGATTGATGTACATTTTTATAATTTCTTTTCTAGCTAGTATCTAGTTGCTTTACCTTTTGCGTGAATAATATAACCTAAATGCCAATTTAAAATATGAAACTAAAAGATAACTATATGGAAAGAATTCAACAGAGAAAGGTGTTCACTTACACATGTTTCAAGAAACACTGCTGTGAAAACGATTTATCTCATCTCTAGTTATTCATGCAAAGAACCAATTGCAAAATTTACAAAACGTTTTTTAATCGCAATAGCGATCAACATTCAATCTGCAACTTACATGAAATAGTACGGAAGCCCATTTAGGACCTATGGAAATAATTTTTAAATTTGATATAAAAAATTGTCGAATTTGTTATTCCGAATTTAATTCATTATAAAATTTTTAGGGGGTCATAAAGATTTTTCTCTCAAGATAATTAAGATGCACACTTTTTTAAATTGACTTTATAGACAGTGAGCTCATGTTTGTCTATTGGGTCCATTTAACAGCAGTTGTATATATTTATATCAATAAAGATTATGGGAAGATTAAAATACAACTTAATATTTTTTTGAAAATTTTCAGAGCCAACTATCTAATCATCAAGTGAATCTTCATCTTTACCGATTATTAACATAACAACTTTCATAACTTGCACAATTCTTCGCATCTTTTGTTTGTGCTTTTGTTTGACCGTACATATCTATTTCCAAAAGTCCGAATTTCATGACAAAAAAGCAATTGTATATATACCGAGAAGCTAAGTTATACTATAAATTAATTGGTCGAACTTAAAATAAAAGGAATAATTTGGTGAAAATCGGAATCTTTAAAGCTTACATCTCTGTCAATTGCTGACTTTAATCGAATAAAAGTCCTAGTTCCAAATTGTGATCCTGATACTGGATAACTTATCAATTCAAACAGATTATTTAAATTAATATCAGCAGGAGTGAGTGGTGATCTGACAAACGTTATGTTGACTCCCGAGTTCTGATTAGTTCCCTGATTTATTCCTTCTATCGTTGTGTCTGTCCTATAGAGTGGGGAGTTTGGGTCAAAAGAAGAAAAATTGGACTCGTACACAGTTCCAGCAATGTTGGGATCAGGTGAACTGCATGCTGAAATAGGTTTACAAGCATAAAATTAATTTATTGATGGAATAATTGAAAATATTTTCCGGATATTCTGTTTTTATTTGCTTAATTATATGACTTGAAATATAAGTATTCTGCACATGTATGTAGCGACGATGAAATCCGTCCATGACGGCAAGGAATCAAGTCAGTTTACTTTGGGCATTGCTTTTGCCATTTGCTATTTTTCTGAACAAACAGTGTAGTGAATTTGATTTTTTAAACTGATTAAAAAAAGATAAAATAAAATATTAATAAACTCAAAGTCTTACGTTCCTGCGAATTCCCTGTATGTACGTAAAAATACAGCCAGATTATTGTAAAATTAACCCGTATAGTGTTCCGCTTCTGCATCTAAAAATAAAAAAAAAATTGTACTCTTCTTATTAATAAATAATATTTTAGTCAAATTGTTTAATATGATTTCCCCTTTTCACTCTCTCTTTCCTTTAAGGTAAATACATGTATATATATTTCCGCTTCTTCTCTGTACCTGTTGAACGCAGCCAATTTCGTCAGGAAATTAATTGGTAAATGAGTGATGAAGCGACATTAAAATTGCAGTGGCATAGTTTTAAACGTTATAAAGTATGTACAAGTTTTAAACTCTTACTGCAATTCATTATATATGAGTTCAATTCAATAACTACAAAATCATGTTTATGTAATACCTGCTTGTTTACATATTATTGAGATCTAAATAACCTTCAACTTTCTTCCTGGATAAAAATCACAACTCCATATTTGTGTGAATTGTCATTTATTGAAAATGACAATGAGTATTAAAGAATACAATAAATGGGGAGATCAAAAAACCTTATACAAATATTCTTTTACATAAACAAGTAAAGTTGTATAATGATCTCCCGTGTTACATGTCAAAATAATGTAAGAAATAACAGAAAAAATTGTAAAACATATATACATTACAAGCAAAAAGTTGGCGTTCAAAAATAAAAACAGAAGCCCCCCACACAACCCACTGTTGTGTTTTAAGAAAAGAAGATAACATTAAATAATCAAGCATTGTTTTACCATAAACATAAATGTTTGATGTTTGACAGATGGTGAAAGCTGGGGAAGGTGGGTGGGTGATTTCTTAAGTAGAAAAATTGAACGTGTGTTTGTTTTCCCTCTAAATCAGTGAAGTGGCGCTATTCTCAGACACAAGAAAATACACGCTTCTGATTGGTTAATATACACAGGTTTGACGAATTCCCCGATAGACGCCAAATACACATTACATATGATATGTTTTGATTTTAAGAAAACAAAATTTTTGGTACCATAAAACACATGATTACTTAAATGCTATTATTTGACAATAATGCTGTAATGTATGTTTAGTCTTAGGGTTGAAAACGAACGCATAAAACGAAAACCCTTAACCTATAGCCATGAAATTCATATAAAACATCATGATAGATAGACAGGTGCCTAATCCAGGAGTTATATTAGAGTTACTGTGAGCATTTAGCTTACTAAATACTAGTAATACCCAAGCGCGGGGGGGGGGGGGGGGTCGGGGGTTGCATCAAAGTTCATGGCCCCTGGGTCAGGGGTTCTGATTTTAGGGAGGGACTGTTGTTTATTTTATGATGAAAATGCGATCGAAAAATCGAAAAGTCTTATAATACCCCCGCTTAAAAAGTGGAGGGGATATAGTGATCGGAATGTCCGTCCGTCCATCGGTTAAGCTTTGAGGTACCCATCTTTTATCCGTGACTCCTCTTAAACCATCGAATGAAATTTAACAAGGCTTTCAATTAATCTTTGTTACATAGTGCCATTGTGCTCCTCTTATTTTACATTTTGACCCGACACACATTTTGGGTTTCCCATGTTAAACATGGACACTGCGATTCTTAAAAGAATTTAATGTTACTTTCACAGATTTTTTTTTACATAGTGCCATTGTGCACAACCTATTTTCTTGTTGATCTGACTCTAAGTAGGGTGTCCAAGAGCAAAACATGGATTTTGTCATTATATTCATAGAAGTGTTGCGGGCGGGGGGGGGGGGGGGGGGTTGTTCGGGTTTATAATTAGTGAGCTCAGTGCCCATAGTACTTCTTGTGTATCTAGAGCTTTATTGATCATATTGGGAACACTATTCCAATAAGAGAAAATATTTCTCTTTATTATATACCTAAAGTGTATCACTCAATTTTACTGTTGATTTTATGCAATGAACTTTCCGGATCACCGCACTGCGGTTTTCTGAATCCATTAATTATGTATTGAGTGATACACAAAAGGTATATAATAAAATAATATATATTTACTTTTTATGTACTGTTAGTAATGTAAACGAAAGCTGATTGATAGATCACTTGTTAATAATTAATGTATATTTACTTAAAAGCAGAAATAATTCTTCAATCTTTGTACAGTGAGTAAATTTACTCTTCAAAAAATAAGAGAGGCGAATTTGTAAAAAAGTGATGTAATTACAACATGTGCCCAAGAGCTATTGTAATGTATAGCCTATATGATGAATGGGAGTGTATTAGCACTGGTAAGTACAGGCTAATGTATCGATCTACTTAATGATTTGTAAGTCACCCACATGGAGCAGTGGTTACAGCGTCTGCTCTAGAGTCGCGAAGTAAGGAGTTGATCCTTACGTCGCGGATTCGTATCCTTTCTGTTCGGCGTGGAGACCGGTCCTTCGGATGAGCCCGTATAAACAGAGGTCCTGTGTCGCAGTAGGTGCTGGCACGAAAACGATCCCTCACTGAATAATGGCTGTAAGTGCCGAGGATAGGGCAAAATTTGCAGCTCCACCGGCAAGTGGTGGCGTCTCCATATGAGTTAAAATTTCGCCAGAGGTACGTTAAACAATCAATCAATCAATTATTTAATATTTTTAAATTATTTAATATAACTGGAATTTTTTTCCTCGTAGATAAATATAACTATCATATTTTATTTCAATATTAGAAGGGAAAAATGCTTCAAAGAGTGTATATTTATTGAATTAAATAATTAATAGAGATAACTAGAACACGGGATAAAATGATTGTCAGTTCTAATGAAATATTGTGAATATTGACAAAAAAGGCATTTGCTAAAACATGCAAATTATGGGAGGACCCTAAGAGCGATTGAGCTTTGATGTAAATGTGAATTTCTGCATGATGACTTGATTATCTTTCTAAAGACACTAGCAGATATTTATCATGTAAGTTCTACACTACAAATATTTACTACAAAATCTTTTTTTGACAATTAGAGTAAATATGCTTTGTATGTTAAAACTGGGTCATCACCATTGTCGTCCAAATACCCTCTTCACCTACTCTTACAGTCTTTGAGCCTTTCATTTACTAGTATTCGAAATGTCATGTTGCGGTTTCTGAATTAATGAATGGTGGTAGTAAATATATTAAATAAAATTGAATTTTGGCGTAATTTATTTTATCTGATGAATGAATATTAAATACAACATGATATTTTGATAGTTTAGCGGCTCTTGTCAAAGAGAAAGTAAAACCAATCAATGATTCAATGATCAGTAAGCGACATATAATAATGTGCAATAAAACAAGCTTAAGTTTACTCATTTTCTTAAATTTGATTTAGTTGGTACTGTTGTACATGTCTATCACTTAATTATATAAGATATCTCAAAAGTAAACCAAAGCTAAAATATTTCAACCATTGAATGTTGTCCTTACCTCCTTGACTTGACAATAGACTAAAATATGAATAATTAATAAACTTCCTTGTTTTTTAACGAGACAGTGCTTAATGCGCAAATAAAGAATTAGTTATGAAAAAATAGTTGGTAAGGATTTAGCACATCATTATTTTTAAATTAAAATCGTAAAATAAAATTTGAAAAGTAAAAAAGTAAAATTTATATAACTTGATTTTTATGGCATGGAATAAATAATAAATAAACAGACTCATTAGCCTGTTCAAATACCAGTGTAACATTTTTTTTAACACTGTATTTTTGGTTAAATTTCGAGGTTTTAACCCCATTTTATTACATATATAACATACTATTAAATATATGCAACTTTATATATTTTTAAAAACAAGCAAAAAAGAAGGTTAAGGAAGATGTTTATTTAACAAAGTTGGTTATTTATTAAACTGTTTAAGAGGAAATATTTAATGGGCGATCAGCAACTAGACACATTCACTATTTGAAATAGAAAATCGTTTTCTGCAGTGGTTTCACGATTCAAATTATAGTAAGTGTCCTAATGAATTATTTCCTTACAACGGCTTTCATTTTCTTTCAAATTATCGAGAGGGACATTAAACAACAAACAAACAAACAAAACATTTTTTTCAGAAGAAATATAAATACTGTGCGTAATATCCATTAAATTCATTCAGTAGGAATGCCATTTTTGTGTAATATACTTACACATGAAAATAAAATTGGAGTAACGCGCTAAAGTGACATCACAATGAGGCTACAGACATGGATAATATGAAGTTTTCTTCTATCATTCTAAGTACATCGTTGTTGACGTCTTTTAACTTGAGGTTTGACATAGACTAGATGCGAGCATTGATATGTTGAGTAAGTTCATCAATATAATTTCAAGAAAACTATAAAGAAAGTAAAAATACTAGTTAATGAACCGTGATCGACCTCAAACACAACCTATAAACAATGTAAATCGGAAAGGGCACAAAACACGAACCCCTTGGGATTCCAGAGATGGGATCAAGTTGACTATGCATCCCCTATATGCAGAAGATAGCGGGATATTTCACACTCGTAAATATGGGAATGACGATGGAAAAGCTAGAGTCGTCTCGTTTGTCATTTTAGTTGTTAGTTGAGCCTTATCATCTTTAGTCAGTATGTAACAAATCTGACAGACTCTGTTGTGTCTTTTATTTCAAGTTCATGCGGATATTTCGAATAAATGGAAGTCACTATTGTTAACTAATAAAAAAAATCGTTGGTATATCTTTCTTTTATTTAACTTCATCATCATTATTTAAACTCAGAACAAACAGGTAAAACACAATAGGCATCGACATGTACAGTGTATTATAATGTATCTTCGTACACTTTCTGTAGATAAATCTGATATAATGCATTACTTTCTTTAGTGCAAATACAGCTCAATACAACTCACTTTACACATAAATCACTTGACAGGTAAAAAATGCAAGCACATTAGCAAAAAATTTATAATACCCAGTAATACTTTTATATTGACCATAGTCCTTTTTAATCACATGTGCATAAAGAAAAAGGAGAAACGGTGTTTGTTTTGGCACTATTTAGTACAGTCTCAGAAAACCTTGAACTTTTAGTAATGCGTGGCATTCTCGACGTTATATTACAAGCGTCTGAAATTTACATTGCATCATTTATTATTGAAATACACATGGAATAGAAATTCGATCAAATGTCAACGAGTGTAACCCCCGTTCACACAGAGCTGCGACTCTACGGCAATCATCCCGATCAAGCCCGATCAAGCCAATATCTGAAAAGTTTTTGGATCTGGGCAGATCGCAGCCGATCGGCGTCAAAAAAGAGCAATTTGGCAAATTATGGTCTTCGTTACGACAGTACTACGATGTCCCTACGTTAAACGCGTTGCTAACACCCTTCTACTACGATGTTACGCAGACCAATGCCGACACACAGCCGTGTGTAGTGCGTTTACGCTACGCTGCCACTACGACATCACAGATCTAGATGACTGTACCGCGATGTCGCTACGGTGGTGCCGATCAAATTACGATTGCATTACGCTTCTAGTACGATTTTAGCGATGTAAATATATCTTGCAACTGCAGATTTTTGTAGTACGATTTTAGCGATGATACATATCTTGCGTTCGCTGTTTATTTTTGCTGCTTTTACCACATGGTTTAAGGGCATTTTCAATTCTAATTGTAAAAAGATGTGAAAATGCTCAATTGTAAATGATCATCAAGTATAGTGTCACCCTTTACTTGTAGTTAACAGATGATGATTGGTCAAATATGAGCGCTATAAGAACAAACGTTTTTCTGATAGGTCGTGATATGATCGGCGTATGGTCATTGTAGATCTTCGTAGGATCTCCAGGAACGTAGAGAGATCGTAGTGAGAACGTAGTACGAACGTAGAAGGAGCGTTGTATGAGCGTGCTTGGTAAGTTCCTACGCTCTTACGGCGCTTTTACTACGATCATGAAGATCTCTCTACGATGCTTCCGCGCTGCTTGCACGATTACGGCGCTTCTACTCCACTCTTATTGCGACTCAATCCCGATTCTTGTAGGCCACGATCCCGCTACGCTTGTTTTGAACATGTTCAAAATCAGCGTGGTGAGAGCGTAGAGCTCTGCGATCATGAAGACCCTACTGCGATCATACTACGTTTATGACGACCCCTCGACGTTTCTCCTGCGATTTGTCACGATCGGCCACGCTTTGATCGTAGTAGAAGCGGCGTCTATGTGTGAACGGGGGTAAGAAATATCCAATAGCATTGTCTCGTACGACAAAGAGATGGGGCTTAAGTCGTCTCACCGTTGTCAACAACATTTTAAAGTTCCTCATGTTATTAATTTCTTAACCAATGAGAATCTATTTGCCATTTTACAGACGCTAATTACGTACCGCCGAGAATGCCACGGATTACTGAAAGTCCAAGGTTAACTGAGAATTGTACTATCTTCAAACATTTCAAGGTGACAAAACATGCAATCATTAAAAGTAGCTCTAACAAACTATAAAGAAATAATCAAATCCATCTG